TTTTTGCTGATGTTAAAGAGTAAACAAATGTCATTGTCCAATAAATGTCCAATAGCCATTCTAATATGCAGTCATGAATGGGTTGACATTTATACAATTATTACAGTATTGCAGTAGTCTGCATAACAGTAAATCTTCTGTTTCTTGTTTGAATTAAAATTCAAAATTGAAAGCATGATTATCAAAGGGGCCTGGAGACATGACTAATGAACAAAGATGTTATTTTAGAGCCAGGATTGTCTGCATTGTTCATTCTGGAACCTATTTTGAAATTGGCATGTTTTTTAATTTGTATGAAATTGGCCAAATTGCCAATTTGACCACTTTATTGGGTAGTTGCAATCAGTAAATGGGCAGTTTCTTGTACTTAATCGATAGAACAAGTGGATTTCTAAAGAAATAGCTAAGTTTGGTCGACTGGAACAATGGAATTAGCTGAAAATAGGTCTCGAAGTGGGCAAAATCGCCAATTCGTTAATATCGCCGAGGTCGCTAACTTCGTGAGAGTGTAATTCCACAAATTTTCAGTCAAATTTTGTACTTCTGGTGTCATTACCATCGGGAAAAGATTCATTTCATAAGGAATTTTTTTTTTTTTTTTTTCAAATATTTTGCGACACCAGGAGATACCTCAGGATTTGGGGGTTGCAACAGTCGAAGGGGTAAAATATGTATTAGCTGTTACCAAACCTCTTTCTATGCTTATTTTTTAGTAACACATCAGCTGCTTTCCACCAAGGCAGGGTGGCCAGAAAATGAACTTACATAATTCGCTCCATCACTGTCTTGCCAGAGGTATGCGTGCACTGTTTATAAAACTGCAACATTAACACCCCTCCTTCAGAGTGCTGGCAATGTACTTCCCATCTCCAGGAATAAAGTCCAGCCTGCTGGTTTCCCTGAATCCTTTCATAAATGTTTACTTTCTTACCCTCCAACTGCATGTCAAGTCCTAAAAACCATTTGTCTCCATTCTCTCCTATCTAACATGCTCACGTAAGCTTGCTGGAAGTCCAAGCCCCTTGCACATGAAACCTCCTTGACTCCTCCTCCCTCCAACCTTTCTTAGGCAGACCCCTACACTGCCTTCCCTCCTACAGATTTATACACCTGAAGTCATTCTTTCATTCCAGCCTCTCTACATGTCCAAACCATCTCAATAACCTCTCCTCAGCCCTCTGGATAATAGTTTTGGTAATCCCACACCTCCTCCTAATCTCCAAACTACAGATTCTCTGCATTATATTCACAGCACAACAGCACACATTGCCCTCAGACATGACATCTCCACTGCCTCCAGCCTTCTTGTTGTTACATAGACAGCCCATGCCTCACACCCATATAATTGCATTGGTATAACTATACTTTCTTACATTCCCCTCGTTGCATTCATTGATAAAATTCTTTGTCTCCACAGACTCCTCGGTGAACCACTTGCCTTTTTCCCATTGTAAATTCTATGATTCGCCTCATCCTTCATAGACCCATCTGCTGACATGTCCACTCCCAAATATCTGAAAACATTCACCTCCTCCATACTCTCTCCTTCCTATCTGATATCCAATCTTCCGTTACCTAATTTTTTTTTATCCTCATCACCTTGCTTTCCTATGTTCATTCTTAATTTCCTTCTTTTACATTCCCTACCAAACTTGTCAACCAACCTCTGCAACTTCTCTTCAGAATCTCCCAAAAGCAGTGTCATCAGCAAGGAGCAACTGACAACTCCCACTTTGTGTTAGTTTCTTTATCATTTAACCCCATATCTTTCTCTATACAAAGTACAGTTAAATGCCCCCCATTACCATTTACCCTTGGCACCCCAAACTTGACTATGCCCTCTACAACAGTTTCTCCCACTTTAGCATTTAGGCCCCTCACCACAGTTACTTGTTTATACATTTATATTCCCTCTTTTCCTGCCATAACTGATTCTTCAACATTACTCATTCCTTAGCTCTAATTCTATTGGAAAATCCTAACCTAATCCTATTTATTTCTCCTCACTGAAACTCTCCTAACTCCTTTAGCTTTGTTTTCCTTAGAGCTAGGACATTCAACTTTCCATATTTTTTCCCCAACATACCAGCTGTCTCCCTCCAAGGTAGGGTGACCCGAAAAAGAAGGAAACTAAAGTTTGTTTTACTTTTAGTAATTTATACAGAAGGGGTTACTAGCCTCTTGCTCCTGACATTTTAATTTTTAGTAGAAGAAAACTCAGATGAGTATATATACAAGTGTACATGTATATATACTCATCTGAGTGTAGGTAGAAGTACATGTTATCTTGCACATTTGAGAAAAAAAAATTTTTGTTGGGTAAAACTATTTCAAGTTTTTTTCACTCTAGCAGGATGGTAGTGCCTCACTGAGTGGTTGCTGTTTACCAACCTACTACCTACAACATTAAAGGTTAGGTAGATTGACACGTGCAATTAATGTGACATTTTATTTTGGCCACATTTCACTCTCCAGGAGCTGTCAGAAAGAACAGAAAGGCACAATACTGTGACTGGAACAATCCACATATAACCCGCATGTAGGAGAGAGGAGCTTACCACGACGATTTGGTCTGGCTTGGACCATTTACAAAGTCACACTTACAGAAAAGAGTTGGAGCCAGTATATATGGGCGAGCTGGCAGGGACAGGACAAGGGAGGTGGAAGGAGTAGTAGTAGTGGTAAGGCAGGTAGTGGAAGTAGTAGCGATAGTGTAAAGTAGGGAGAATAATTGGTGGGACAAGAATAGGAGTGAAGGGAGGCAAAAGTGAAGGTTGGGGGGCTAAAAGTAGCAGGGAAGGTAGTAGTACTGGGGTCAATCAAAGGCCAAGAAAGAGGAGCACTGCAGGAGAGCTAAGGGTCCACAAGGGGTGAGACCAAAAATACAAGGAGGAAAGGATGGGGAGGGGGGGGAAGTGAAGGACAGAACACCCAAGGCAGAAGAAAGAAAACCCAAAACAAGAAAAAGGAAAAATAGGAAAGGAGTTGAGAAATAGAGAGAGAGAAATAGAAAGACAAGTGACAAGACAAATGACAAAGTTTTTTGACTACCACTCGCTACTTTGTGACCGTCAATATGGCTTCAGGAAAGGTTACTCTGCTGCTGATCTGTTGTTAAACCTCTCCACTAAGTGGCACCAGTCACTGGATGAATCCAAAGTCAGCTGTGTGGTAGCACTGGACATTGCTGGTGCTTTCGACCAGGTGTGGCACCAGGGCCTCTTAGCAAAACTTTAAGCACTGGGAATTGCAGGCTCTATGCTATGTCTCCTCAGTGATTACCTTCATGGTAGATCTCTAAAGGTAGTTCTCAATGGAACGGAATCAGCAAGACATCCTATTGGGGCAAGTGTTCCACAAGGTAGTGTGCTGGGACCATTGTTATGGAATGTCTACTTAAATGACCTTCATCTCATCCCAGAATCCCATGCATATGCAGACGACTGTACACTGACATTCACTTATCCAAGAGAAGAAATGCCAGCTGCTCTAAGCTACATCAATCACCAGCTAAGAGCTATATCAGCTTGGGGAAATAATGGCAAGTAACATTTGCACCTGTGACAAATGCAAATGGTGATGGTCTCGAGGCACCATGATGGTAATGCTGGTGCAGTAGTAAGGATGAATGGGAGGATGTTGGCACCTGGAGAAGAAGTTGATATCTTTGGGGTGAAATTTGACTCCAAACTGACCATGAAGAACCATATTGTAAATATTGCAATCAAGGCAGCCAGGAAGCTTACAGCACTTCGCCGTATCTCGCATCTGCTTGACAGTAGGGGTTGCAAGATTCTGGATGAGGCACAAGTACGCTCACACCTTGAGTATGCTCCACTTTCTTGGTTTGCCTGCCCCCCCTCTCATCTGTGACTGCTTGACAGAGTAGAGAACAGAGCAAGATGTCTCATCTATCGCCTGGACCCATTCTGGATAGATCTGTCATTTCAGCAGAGCCTTCAACACAGGAGGGATGTGGGTGGCCTTACTGTTATGTACAAGGCCAATATTGTCAAAGTACCACACTTTGATCCACTTCGAGGACAGCGTTAAACTAGCTTTTATGCCACAAGATGGGCAGAAAGCAGCAACTTCACTCTGGCTGTACCCTTCTCCAGAACATCACTTCATCCGAGATCATATATACCCAGGATGACTCGAGTATGGAGCCCATTCGTACAGCATAATGTCAACGAGATAGTTGATCAAATGAAAATGCTGGCCCACAGATGGCTCCAACTTTATCCTGTTCCCTACTTGTGTGTCTCATAACAATAAAAATGCTTTCAAATGAGCTGTTGTAGGTAAGATCTTAGCTTGCCAATAAAGTTAGGAATCCTTAACCTGTAAATAGCTTGTCAATAAAGCTAGGAATCCTTAACCTTGTCAAACCCTGTGTAAAAAAAAAAAAAAAATTAGAGAAATAGAGAGCGAGAGAGAAATAGCGAGAGAGAGAGAGAGAGAAATAGCGAGAGAGAGAGAGAGAGAGAGAAATAGCGAGAGAGAGAGAGAGAGAGAAATAGAGAGAGAGAGAGAAATAGCGAGAGAGAGAAATAGCAAGAGAGAGAGAGAGAAATAGAGAAATATTAGTTGCATGTGTTCTGAAGTTTGGAACATTTGAGATTAGAAAGACTGGAAATATAAGAAAGGCAGAGAACAGGAGATTTCACAAGAGTAAAAAGTTTGGGAGAGAAGAAAGTCCGTTTAATGTGTGAGAAGATAGTTTGTGAAATTTCTGTTCTTCATATAATCTCTGCCTTCTCTTATGATAAACTGACTGTCTTCTCCTAAACTCTACTCCTGTGGAATCTCCTGTGGGCCCTTAGCTCTCTTGCAGTGCTGCTTTTTTTTTTTTTTTTTTTTGGGTTTTGACTGACCCCGATGATGATGCCGCCGCCGCCACTTCTTTTTTTTTTCTCTGTCCATCTACTTAACATTTTTAGTAATTCTACCATTATTACTAATATTAATTAAATATGATATGATCGTTTGTTTTACAGAGAGCAGCTGACTAAGTTGTCTCGGCTACATCGCTTGAAAGCATCATTACTTGAGGAAGTTGAAGGGAAAACCATGAAGGCACAGCAGCTGATGGTGCAGTCAGCATCCCAAGATGAAAAGAAAGCCCAGATAATGCGTGCTTTTAGTCTCAAAAAGGAAAGCCTTCTTGAAGAAATTGGTCAATCCAAGTTGTGAGTACTGCAGTTGCTGTACCTACTTGATTTTGTGGGGAGTGAGCTTTTGTTCTCGTCTTCTTTTACGAACTAGTGTGACTGAATCGTGTCATCTATTTTGGAATACCTAAAGCCTTCAGGTTATTTACCAATATATTTCAGTGAAACTTGTTATATAGCTCGTATCCCATATTTATCAAGGTTTAAAACTTATACCTGTGCTCTGCTCTTTTCACATTAGCCTTTCTTGTATTCTTTTCTTTACCATTACTGAACATCCATTAAGAAACGTTTGAGAGAACACAACTTTCCTTGGTGCTAGCCATTTTGATTAATGTACTCATTTCTAGTCTCATTCCACTACCACATCTACTAGTCAAATATTGTCTGACTAGCTCAGTCTTTCATCAATAACAACAACTTTCAGATCATGTGAAGGCATTTGATAATCAAATGCCTTCACATGATCAATAAAAACAAATCTAAAAAATATCGCAAGTCCTCCCTGGGTGTTAGTAGAAGCATCATTATTCAATAATGTGTGCAAAAATCATGACACTGCTATTAACCCTTTCAGGGTTTTCGACATAATATTACGCTGTACGCATCGGGGTTATTGACCTACTAGTAAGCATAAATTCTAGTGCCTTCAAATCAAGTGGGAAAAGGCTGGTAGGCTTAGATGTGTCTGCATGGTCAGTGTGTGCAGTAGGAAAAAAAATTCAGAGACCCAGTGGTGCATTGTGGGAACACCATGCCTCGCGGTAAGAAACACCTCACTCCTCGGCAAATTGGGACACTTTTGTTCCCCAGTGACAGTTCTAATGCAGTTGGAAGTGTCAGTGAAGATGAGGTTCAAGGTTTTGATGAGATTGTGACCAAAACTAATGACCATAATACGAGTAATAAAATAAAATCAAGATGACCCTCAACCTTCAACCTCTGGTGCTGGGCCGTCTTGTTCACATTCAGTTGTACCAGAACGAAAGAGGAAACTTGTGTTTTCCCATATCCAGGACTGATGCGAGCAATGGTGATGATAGCGATAGTGAATGTGGACTCCAAGCCCTTGAAAACAGTTCCAGCAGCAAGAGTAAAGTGGAATATTCTCCAGTGAAGAAGCAGTATATGCGCCGCTATATGGACTCTGGTAGTGTGCCACATGCTATTCCAAAGGGAAGGCGTACTTCTGAGTACATCCCATGGCTGTACAACAGGAACGGATAGTGAAAATGAAGACTGTTGTTGCAGTTGGGATGGAAAATGTGCATGCATCTGGTGGTGGTAGTGGTGGTGCCAGCCATGAGGCACCAGCAGTGGGCCATGCTGCTACCCACGCTGCTGACTAAGCTGAACTACAACAAAGGCCACCATCCCCTACCCACCCACAACCACAACCACCTGTCAGTATCCAGTACCCACCAGCAGACTGCACCTGGGATTGGCAGGAAGCTGACAATTTTGTTCCCAATCCCCATCCCCATCAGTTTGATGAAAGTCAGTGGAATACGGCCATCTCGTACACTTGGGAACAATGCCACTGAACTAGAATGTTTAGTTATTCTTTGACAAATCCCTGATGGAAATTGTCAGGGAAAGCAACAGATACTTCGATTACACCATGGCAAACTCAGTACTTTCACCAAAACCACGCCTACACCAGTGGAAGGAGACAACTGGGGCTGAGATGTATCTTTTCTTTGCCACAATAATGCTTATGCCAAGTGTATAAGCAGTGTCAAATCATACTGGTCAACAGACTGCCCGATTAACCCCAGGTTTCAGTGATATAATAAGAGTGAATCAATTTGTGTTACTATTGCATATGCTACACTTCTCAGACAAAACCATACCTGACAGAAATGACAGGTTATATAAGACTAGGAATGTTTGTGTATCTGAAACAAATTCAATATGTATTTTTATCCCTTCAGGAAGCTTGTTATTGATGAGTCTTTGATTCTGTTCAAAGGTAGACTGTCATTCAAGTAGTATATACCCAGCAAGAGGAAACACTTTGGTATCAAGTTTTGTGCTTTGTGATTGCTACACTGGTCTTGTATTGGATATTGTATACACTAGAAGTAATACATTGCAAGATACCAGGAAGTTATTGGGCTTCTCTGATGTGGTTAGAACAATGATGGAACCATATCTTGGTTAGGGGCACATATTATATACTGGTAACTGGTACACAAGCCCCTTACTCGGTGATTTTTTGCGAGTGAACATGATAGATGTGTGCGGTACATTGCTTGCAAATCGTAAGAATATGCCTAGGTTCAACGCTGGCACTCGTAGAGGTCAGGTGCAGGCGTTTGCTGCCAATGACATCATGGCATTTCGGTGGCATGACAAACAAGATGTCGCACTGTTGTCATCAGTTCACCCTAATGAAATGACACACTGGCAGGCAGAATAGACACCAATGAAACTATTCTAAAACCTGCAGCTGTGATGGACTACACCCTCTATGCATTCATTGGACAAATATGATGTGCAGATTGGGTTTGCTGATTGTGTTCGCAAGAGTTACAAGTGGTGCATAAAATGCTTTTTCCACCTTCTGGACATTTCCATGCTCAGCGCTTATAATATGTACAAGATGTGGGCCAGAAACAAACCACCATATGGCGAATTTTGTGTCGGCCATTAGACAAACATTAAAGTACCAAGTAATAACACCTGCAATAGAAAACCACCCACCAAATTATCAACTACCTTCTCGTCTGAGGCCTAGTGATCACTTCCTAATAAAAGTGCCTGCTACTGCTTAAAAGAAAAAAGGCTCAGAAGAGGTGTTTTGTCTGTGCATACAAAAAAAGCTCAGCACAACTCAGACACTAGTTTTATGTGTGATGAGTGTAAAACACCACTGTGCATGACACTGTTTCAATGACTTCCACAGGGTGCAGCACTTCTAGGAACATGTCAAGAGATTCTGTGTGTGTATATATATTTTTATTTTTTATTAACACATCGGCCGATTCCCACCAAGGCAGGGTGGCTCGAAAAAGAAAAACTCATCATCATTCACTCCATCACTGTCTTGCCAGAGGGGTGCTTTGCACTCCACTTATAAAACTGCAACATTAACACCCCTCCTTCAGAGTGCAGACACTGTACTTCCCATCTCCAGGACTCAAGTCCGGCTTGCCGGTTTCCCTGAATCCCTTCATAAATGTTACTTTGCTCATACTCCACCAGCACGTCAAGTAGTAAAAACCATTTGTCTCCATTCACTCCTATCAAATACGCACATGCACGCTTGCTGGAAGTCCAAGCCCCTCGCACACAAAACCTCCTTTACCCCCTCTCTCCAACCCTTCCTAGGCCGACTCCTACCCCGCCTTCCCTCCACTTCAGATTTATACACACTTGAAGTCATTCTGTTTTGTTCCTTTCTCTCTACATGTCCGAACCACCTCAACAACCCCTTCTCAGCCCTCTGGATAATAGCTTTCGTAATCCCACACCTCCTAATTTTCGAACTACAAATTCTCTGCATTATATTCACACCACACATTGTCCTCAGACATGACATCTCCACTGCCTCCAGCCTTTTTCTCATTGCAACATTCATCACCCATGCTTCACACCCATACAAGAGTGTTGGTACCACTATACTCTCATACATTCCCCTTTTTGCTTCCACGGACAAAGTTCTTTGTCTCCACAGACTCCTAAGTGCACCACTCACCCTTTTCCCTTCATCAGTTCTGTGATTCACCTCACCCTTCATAGACCCATCTGATGACACGTCCACTCCTAAATATCTGAATACATTCACCTCCTCCATGCTCTCTCCCTCCAATCTGATATCCAGTCTTATGTCACCTAATCTTTTTGTTATCCTCATAACCTTACTCTTTCCTGTATTCACTTTCAATTTTCTTCTTTTACATACCCTACCAAATTCATCCACCAACCTCTGCAACTTCTCTTTAATCTTCCAAAAGCACCGTGTCATCAGCAGAGAGCAACTGTGACAACTCACACTTTGTGTTTGATTCTTTATCTTTTAACTCCACACCTCTTGCCAAGACCCTAACATTCACTTCTCTTACAACCCCATCTATAAATGTTGAACAACCACAGTGACATCCTTGTCTAAGGCCTACTTTTACTGGGAAATAATCTCCCTCTCTCCTACATAATCTAATCTGAGCCTCACTATCCTCGTAAAAACTCTTCACTGCTTTCAGTAACCTACCTCCTATACCATACACCTGCAAAATCTGCCACATTGCTTCCCTATCCACCCTGTCATATGCCTTTTCTAAATCCAGAAATGCCACTAAAACCTCTTTACCCTTATCTAAATACTGTTCACCTATGTTTCACTGTAAACCACTTTGTCTTCACACCCCCCACCTTTCCTAAAGCCTCCTTGCTCATATGCTATCCTACTCTCTTACTCTTTATTCTTTCAATAATAACTACCATACACCTTACCAGGTATACTCAACAGACTTATTCCCCTATAATTTTTGTACTCTTTTTATCCCCTTTGCCTTTATACTGAGGAACTATGCATGCTCTCTGCCAATCCCTAGGTACCTTACCCTCTTCCATACATTTATTAAATAATAGCACCAACCACTCCAAAACTATATCCCCTCCTGCTTTTAACATTTCTATCTTTATCCCATCAATCCCTGCTGCTTTACCCCCTTTCATTCTACCTACTGCCTCACGAGCTTCCCCCACACTCACAACTGGCTCTTCCTCACTCCTACAAGTTATTCCTCATTGCCCTATACTCGAAATCACAGTTTCCCTATCTTCATCACCATTTAAGTTACTCAGAATTTTCCTATCATATATATATGGTAGGGCCCCACTTGTACGGCGGGTTAGGTTCCAGGCTGTTGCTGGAAAGTAGACATTGCCGGAAGGCAGAACGCCATTTTTTCCATTTATAAATGCATATAAATGCCAGACAACAAGTTTACACTAAATTATATTAATCCTTTGACTGTCGCAGGCCCCTTTCTGAAACTGTCATTCTATGAAAA